ATGGCTTCCTGGGCCCAGGGCTGGTGGTAGAACTCAGCCCGGCGTTCCTCTTCAGGGTTACCAGCCACATCTGTCATCACCTGGGAGGGAGCATGGGATCTGAGTTCCCCAGAACCTCACCTGCCCGAGTTGCATGTCCATCTTTCCCTCCCCACGTGCTTGTCTTGTTGTCAGTGCTCCCTGAGCCCTCTCTTCACCTTGAGGTCTCGGCTCTGAGAGCGGAGCAGGTCTTGGACGTAGCCTTTTGGGTCTCTGGAGAAACTTAGCATGAAGTCCCTCTGGATCTTGAGCTGGTTTATGGACTCAATCGTCTCGTGGATCTACAGGTAGAAAGACAGTTATTTCCACCTGACCCTGTGATGGGTGAGAGGAATGTAGGAGGAAGAAGTGGGTGGGGGGACTTGCAGTTCCCCAGAGCTCCCGTTTCCTTTGAGCAGTGGGGGAGGGGTGGGCAGAGCTGAATTTGGAATGAGGTCAGCTTCTCAAAGCAGGAAAGAGCTATGTGCTCCTCATGTCCAAGGCCCGTGCTGTGGTCTGAGTGTTTTCTCCTCTCTCTCGGTTAATGTCCCACTCTAGCTCTGGGCTCAGGCCGCACCTTACTGTCCAGAGCGCTGATCTCCTGCTGGTTGGCTGTGGACAGGAGAAAGCTGCTCATCTGCCCCTTCAGTGGCTCCTCTACCTCCACGTCAATGTCATAGCACGCTGTCTTCTTCTGGTCTGATGGGTCCACGCTGCCAGAGAAGCCCAGCCTTTGATGTCCATGGTACACCCCACAGAAGTCCAGGGGTAGGGCATGGGTGGGTACAGGAGAAGGGTGGAGAAAGCAGGGAAGGCTTTCCTCTGTGGAGGAAGCTAGGCCACCTCACCTGATGACATGGTTGATGACAATTGGGTCAGGGGGCAGCAGCAGGGCTGTGAGGCGCTGGGGAATCTCAGAGAACTTCAATCGGGGACAGTCAAAAATCTGAAGCAGGATTTTGAGAAGGGGGGGTCATCCTTGTGTATGTTGTGTGAAGAGACAGTAACTAAGTTGGATCCTTCCATTCTGGAAAGACCACAAGAAGCTGAGAGCAAGTCAGATTACTGAGTGAGCATGGCAATGAGCCAGGCTGGAGGTGGAAAAGCAGGCATGCCCAAGGGGAGGCCAGTGTGGACACTAAGTATGCCTGTTTGGCTGTCAGTCCCTTGTACCACATTCCGTGAGCAAATTACTTAACACCTTGGGTCTCAGCGCCTCCATCTCTAGAACTGGGGATATTAACAATCCCCATTTCAATGGTTGTCATGAAGGTTAGGTAAATTAGAATACAAAAGTAAGTGTTTGGAATGGTATATGGTAAGTGCTCAATAAAATCCAACTACTCTTTCTACTCAGATTTATCTGCTGTGTTTATTTTAAAATATATTAATAGTAATACTTTGGTAGAATTTTGCCAGATCATTTCTGCAACAATCTGGTTTTTCTTAGCTGCCAGATACATGTGATGGCACAGCTTTCACCAATCCTCACGTCAAAGACAGAACCAGAGGCAGAAAGAATAGCAAAGTAAGTTACCCCAAGTCTAGACCTAGGACTGGGACCCCGGGAATCCCAACTCCAAGTACCAAGAAGATTACACACAGGGTGCTGCTGCCCGTTCCCCCAGGAGGGTCCCAGATTTGCTTCCCTTGAGGAGCAGCCAAATAGACAGGGCAAGAGCCTGGGTGAGACCCTGCTCTTGTCTCCAAGCCTGGCATTCAGGAATCCCGCAAGAGAGCCGGCTACCTTTGAGAGGTGCTTCTGCTGGGTCACTATGCCTGCTCCCCAGAGCCTGGCGCTTAGGACACCCGTTACCTGCTGGAAATACTTGTCTCCATTGATGTATTCCTTGTCATGGGAATCCTGCAGCCGGTTTGTCTTCACATACTGCCACAGTGCCTGGACTATGGCGGAGCGGCTCTGGGTATGCAACCCCAGCAGCCGGGCTAAGCGGGGGTCCAGTTTGAACTGGGGAGGCTGGGAAAAGATTACCAGGACGATTAGATCAAAGGGGGCAGAAGTGGAACTCAGGGACACAGGGCTGATGGTCCTTGGCAGTGTGCCCCTAGAGAAGATGGGTAGGATGAATGGGTTCTTCGGGTAGCATATGCACGTGAGGGGAAACCAACCTGATAGTCCAGCATAAGGAGCAGGGTACAGCGCACACTCAAGTCCCCTGGCCTCTTCACTTGGAACCCATCTGTCTCCTGTGTTGTGGGTGTCCTGTGCCACTGTCCAGGGGGGAGGAGCTAGGTCACCTACAGACCCATCTGGACTGGTAGGGCTAGGGCTTTAGGGTGGTCCTCATTCCAAATCTGTAGCTTCTTGAGGGTCTTGGGTTTGTGGGAAGGGTGGTGACTCAAGGGCAGAAGCAATCTGTCTTACCTCAACGAGGTGGTTGTCGGGGCCATAAAGGTCTTTGTCCAATTCAATGACCAAACTCTTGAAGAAGGAAGAGAACTTGCGCTTCTGCTTACTGGGCTGTGGGAAAGTGACAGGGACTGTGGGGGCAGAACAGGGACCATGGACACAGAGTGGGCCAAGTTGGCAGCAGGCAAGTGGTATGCTCAGAGGCAGTCCTCTGTACCCAGAGTGTCCCCAGGCCCACCCACCCCAGCCAGGGCTGACTACCCCACTCCCAGTACAGACATTGAGTTCTGCCCTTGACTCAGCCCATACCCACCCCAGGACACCTGGAGAGACCTGGGCCAGGACGTACATCATCCAAGAGCTTCCCCTCCACCCGCAGCTCCCAGGAGGCAATGCTGCCATCAGAATCTTCAGCATCGGGCTTCGCAGGGTTAAAAGTATTGGAGATATAAAGGCGCAGCTTTCGCTTTTGCTGTAGAAATAAAGTGTAGCACAGGACAAGGGCCGTGTGCATCCCCCGGGGTTCCCCGCTTCCTCCTGCTGGACGGGGCACTGAGAGCCCTCTGCCCACCCCCACACTAAGGCACCTTCATGGGCCTCTTGAGGGCCTCCTGGATGTCCACCCGCTTTCGCATGATGGTTTGATCCAGTTTCCTCTCGAACGCTAGGAGGTCCATGTAGGCCTGGGACTCGGGGACCAGCTCCCGAATCTGGAGGAGGGACAAAGTGGAAGCAGGGCTCAGTCAACCTTGCCACGCAAAACAGGACACAAAGGACATGTAGGGGAGCTGTCCGATTGATTTCAGGGTGTGGAACTCTGAGCGTGCAGAGAGGACTTGTCCTCAGGACCCTATTATGTAGCCTCATTGTGTGTGCATAAAGATTGCTTCTCCCTCCAGGAAAACCCATGCATCTCATCACCGGGGAAGGAGGTAGCAACCGGCAGCCCGCAGGTGCAGCGCTTGGCCTCATCCTGTCACCCCCCTGAGATAGTTGGGAGGTAGTGTTGGTTACCTCAAGAGGCCTTCCTGCTACCTTCTGTTTCCATCACCTAGCAGTCTCTTGTCCCTTCTTTGTCCCATGCCTTTATGCCTTTGGACACTGGCATTCAACCCTCTTAACCTCAGGCCCTGTGTTCTGCCCCTCCTCCCTCCATGGCTCTCCAGCTCCTCTCAGTCCCGCCCTACCCTCTCATATAGGGAGCCTCACTTCTTAATGAGCTTTTAAAACAAAAAGTGAAAGTGACGCTGAGCCCAAAGCATCATTCCTGAAGGAGGAGGGGAGGGCGGAGCAGCAGAGGGTGGGGGCCTGCTGGGGGCTGCTGTGAAAGGCACTCACCCTTTGAGGGAGGATTTTGTCAGCCATCTTCCTTCTCTTGGCACTGTACATTTTTAAAAGAAAAAACCAGGTTACCATGGCGACAGATCTGGGAGTAACGAGGCCACCTGCTAAATTATCCCGACATCTCCGCCCGCCTGGCTGGGGTTCCCACAGCCTGCTTGTCTGCCCGTCTGAGGGCTACAGCAATGATGTGGAGCTAGTGCTTCCCTTGGAAAGCAGGACGACTGGTCCTTTCTCTGACCTGGGCCCCCCTCTCCAACCCAACACACAGACCTTATACCTCACCATATACATCCTCAGAAACAGGGAAATTCAGACTTAGGGGGAACTAGTAAAAGAGGTGATGTTGCCAAAAGATGGCTGCAGAAGTGTTTGCAAAAAGCTGCGAGGTGGGGAGGAAAGCAGAGAGGAGACAGTTTCTGAGGAGGACCCTCTTCTGCCAAGCAGGAGGAACATGCCCAAGACAGCCGGAGCTCCAAGAAGGGGAGAGATGGCTCTTCCACCTGCTTCCTGGAGCCACAGTGGTGTGAAGCTGGTGGGACTTGGCACTCCTGCCACTCTGGGCTTGGAATGGACTGTTTAAGGGCAGGAGGTGCTTGTGGTCTTGGACCATTTGCCAACCAAGGGTCACACCACATTCACAAGGACCCTGAAAATGTGCAGGAGTGTTCTATATGAGTGTGACTCAACACTGGAACCAAAGCGGCTGGAACTTTGGTAGATAGCACCTGGAATCTGGATGCTTCTCAGTTTCGAAAGCATCCCAGAAAACCCTTGGCTGGCCAAGAGAGCACACAGCCTAGAGGATAGCTCTACACTGCCCCCATGTGGCATTCCCACTCACTGCCCCCTCCCTATCCAGAAATCCATTCTATGGACAGGCAAGCAACTCATTAAAGAAAAAAAACAACCCATTCTTAGGCTGGGCAAGCCTCTCATGAAAGGATTTCAAATAAATTGTCCACACAAGGCTCTTAAACACAACAAATCAAAGAGTTATTTACTAAACAAGATAATGGTTCACTTTGTAAAAGAATTTATCATGGGATGCCTATAAATGATTTTCCTTGATGTGTAAAAGCTAATAACTTAATAATGAGGTAAAATTGGTATTACACCTTGTATAAGAACCCATCTGTTGTGCAAAAGGGAGCATGTGTGTTTGGCTAAATACTGATGCCCATAGGGATCTTGCCAACAGTCAGCAGGGGCCATGGTAGTGTCACCAACTTCTCAGACAAATAAGCTGGTCCGGTGGCCTGAGGGCAGATCTGGTCCCTCAGAGGGACTATAACGTCTATTCACGCCCACTGCCAAGATAGGGACTGTGGAGGTCTAGAGGGAGATTCGGGACTCCGGACTGGCAGGGAGGTACCAGAGGACCACACTTCAGCAAACACACAGCTAAAGCTCAGCCCTCAGTTTACTGCCAGCCCTGCCTCTCCCCAAAGCCTGAAGCGTCATCCAGAACTTGGGGTAAGGGATGTGAAAAAGGATTTAGCAAGTGACAAGCAGGAGAGCAAGGGGTGCGTGAGAGAGGGGACACTGGCAGCTGACTGTCGCAGTCTGTCTCCAGTGTGGGCACACAAAAGAACCAGACCAGTGCCCCCAAGCCCTCCCCAGAGAGTATCCAAGTCAGAATGACTTGGTCGCTGCTAACACCCTTCCTCAGCTTCCCACACCCATCACTCACCCACCTGGTCCCCGAGGCTTCTGCCTGCCCGCCCCTGCACGCCCTTCCACG